CACAGACGCGATTCCATCTCATAGTAGATGTGTTATTGTTGAATAGTGTCCGCCCTCTCCTGTCTGAGGGGATTGTTTGGTTAAAACCAATATTTTAGAGTAATATTGCAGTGGTGCGGTTGCATTCTGAAATTGAATTTACAAATGTAGGTACATCGTTCATTTCATCGCTAAAACGTATAATGGATTAGTTTCACAGTGAGCTATCACTTAGGTAATGACCAAACCACGTCATTGATTGAATATTCCGTCTATAGTTGAGAAAATACGTGTTAAAATCCTTTTATCAAATTGTGCTCTCACGGCGCTCTTAAAATTGTGTTAATGATTGATTTTTTTTTGTCCTAGGACGCTAGGCACGAGCCTGGGATTGTTTTTCACATTACTTCAGGCTAGACCTAGGGGTTGCGGCATTATCACTTAGATAAAATCCATTGGTGACTTGGCGGGGATCGAAACCGGGACCTCAGGGACTGAAGTCCCGCGCTCTAACCACTACACCAGCTCGCTCCCCGTTAATGATTGATTAAGATAATCATAAAGCTAAGTCATTCTCACTTTTACATATTTGTATATCAATTCAAAACTTGTATAAAATAATTATTTTTCTATTATACAAGTTCACTAAATTGATTTCTGACAATATCTGAGTCAGTAATGTAGGTAATTACTATAAAAAGGTAATAGTTTTTTTTATTTAATTAAAGCTATAAACCACATACATAACACTATGAACTTACAACGGGCTAACTAAAATTTTAATAATCAAGAAGAGTCCCCAGTTTGTTTATCTTATTTTCAGCAATATGTAAATAAAGTCCTTTTTAAAAAAAAATCGTTTTTCAAAGTTTTTTTACGTGACTCTATAATCATATAATACTTAAATCCAGGATGAAAGTGTTATAACTGTTCACGTTATATTGTGTTAGGTAAATTAGCTTCAGTCATCCATAATTTAAGCTCACGATAACTTTGACTGATCACTTACACTCCTTGATAATGAATTGTTCCATCAGGAATGGAGTTCATTTAATGAAAACGCAGTATAAATTGATGGTGTCTACATTAAAAAATAAGTTACGTCATTCAGATTCTTACCAAACTCTTCATGTCCAGTGGGGGTTTATGGAAAATTGTAAGTAGAAGTAAATAAGAATGGCATTTTGATTACATGTCAGGGTTTTGTGATTATTTTCTTGACAATTTATACTAATAACACATTTTTTGTCCTAGGCACGAGCCCGGGATTGTTTTGCATATTACTTCAGGCTAGACCTAGGGGTTGCGGCAATATCACTTAGATAAAGTACATTGGTGATTTAGTGGGATTTGAACTTGGGGCCTAAGGGACCGAAGTCCCACGCTCTAACCACTAGACCAGCTCGCTCCCCCGACTACTAACAACATTAATCACCACAACAATAATAATTAATTCTACAAAATGTGCAAATGGATGAAAAAAATACGTGTTGTCGTAATTTTACAGATATATCAGTACGAAGTGGTAAGCTTCGTTCAGGAAATACCAATCGATGTTTGCTGAAATTGTTCATTTTAAATACTTTTTACTTTTACACAAGAAGATTGAGAAAATTTGGAAAATTGTCAAACGCATAAACACATTTCTTACTATGTACGTTCTATTAAAATATTAAGATACTATTAAGGTTTGATATTTCATCCATGTTTCAACATACCTATATTACCGATCATAAAATATACACACAAACACATTTACCATGTTTGTGTGTGTTGGTTTTGTGTATTTTTGTAAAAATAAAGGATACAGTAAAGATCTGATGCGGCTCTCGTTGTATACATTATTCAACTCTCGTCAAAATCATTTGTTTGGAAGATAAAATCTTCCGAAGTAAAAACTTGCCTCGATCTTTTGAACTTTTCGAACTTATAACATAAGAGAAACAGCTTTAAAATATGCCTATTGTGGCTACTTTTTTAAATTTCAATTCAGGTTTATGAAAAAAGAATGCTATTAATAACAAAACACTTAAATGTATGTAAATATAAACTTTAAGAGAAATATTATTATGCCAAGTTTACCTATTTTATGTACTTAAATGATGTACTTTGGCCTATTTTATGTGTACGTTTTAGCGAACTTTCCATGTATGGAATAAGCTATTACCGTAGTAGGCCTACTGATTATAGCACGATAACTCAAGCAAAAATGATCCGATTTTGATGAAATTTTGTATAAGCGTGTAAACCTACATTTATTCGAACGAGTTCGCGAACCAGCATGATCGGACTATGGGAACGGGGGTTTATGGGGGTTTTATGGGGTCAAAAATGGGTTTTCCCATTTCTGACCCCCTCCCCCAAAATTAGCAATTTCTTTCCAAACTATTTCTAAGAGCTTAAAAAACAAATAATTAATTTAGTATATTGAGTGGTTATAAAACAAAAATTTAATTTTAAATTCCCATGTTATGCATTTGCTTGTTTATGAACATATTTTGATCAAATTTTGAAAATGCAATTATTTTTACTAAACTATTTACATTAAAAAACACTTTTCCTGTTTCAGCAAACCTAAGTACTCGTTAAACAAATTCAATTAAAATAGGAAATAAATGTGATATTTTTAAGGAGACATTTTTAAGTAAATCCAATCAGGCAAATGGAAATTCGCTTAGTCTGCAGGTTTGCTGTGGCGGGGATGTTTCTTAATAGTATAGATCAGGCCACAGTAAAGCAAATGACTATGCAAAGAGAAATCACATTTCAATGGAGAGTTATCTACACAAATATTTAAGACCAGCAATAAATTAATAAGTTTGTTTATTCCATAGACATCACATTATTTTTAAATAAACAATATTACACAATAATACAATATTACAATAAAATATTACGGGCAACAAGCTGTGTGTACAGCTCTATTAATATTTAGAGAACCAGTAGACGTAAATTAAAGTAACGTTGGAAATTGTATTTTTGTTTTGTTTAGAAGTTATACTGAGCTAGGGTTCAACTGATAATTGTAATAAGCATATAATTAATTCAAACAAACATTTCATATAGTACGCTATATTTTTTATAAATATGTAACATGATTTTGGTATTGAAACGATTACCCTTTCGTTTATTAAACTTAAGACAGGTCCAATATTTTAACCCTATATTCAATGAAAAGCATTATATTGGTAAATTAATTTAATATGCTACTGAGTAATGAATTATTTAATTAATAATTAGTTTCTTGATGTTAGGAAATATAGTTTTAAAATCCAATTCAAATCAGATTGCAAATATGGCGTACGTCTGATCGGTTGAGAGATGAAAGAAACATTCAATATTCTTTTCAATTTTGACAAACTTTGTTTAAGAAACACAATATATTCTATACACTCCGCCCTTGCGGCATCACGTCAATTTGATTGCTGCGGAGTTGTTCGAAGGAGAAGTCGTGACTCGAGTTTTTCCACAAAAAAACCAATTCCGTCCAACATTTCAGCTCAGTTTAAGATGAATCGACATTTTATTTTATTTTCAGACAGAGGGAACTGCGACTAAGTTAATTTACACATTTAACTTTTAAATTTTGTGATTAGGCATCGTAATCGTATCTTTTCCAAAGTTTAAAATCCTATTTTGTTGTTAAACATTCATTATATCCTAATTATACTATTGAGTTTACGTTTATAATATTGACTTTATTTTCAATGAATCAATATGACGAAACACCTGTTCTGTATTAATTATTATATTTATAAAGAACGTTTTGTGTAAATAAAACATGTCAATTTATATGTATATGTCCAAATTTATTTAGATTTTTACGTAAAATAATATCAACTGTTAAATTATATTCTAGATTAATCCTCAGCTAATACCACTTCTATTTGGTTGTACAATTCAAATGGTGCAAAACTATTTGGAATATGCAAAACCATCATCAAAATAGATTCATGCTGATTAACTTAACATTGTAATTGTTAATTTCTTACATTACATTTCATTAACGTTTTTGTTGGTAACCTAGTAGTTAGATCAATATCTAAAACAATTTCAATATACGGTTTTAACATTAATCAAAATCATACAAATAAAATACAATACTGTGATTGGATAGCCAATTAAATCCACTTTAATTCGATGATAAATAATTGACAGCAAAGCTGGGGATGAGCGGAGACCGCCCGTGTCAGGATATCGGGCAACTGATAACCATTAGTTTGTCAGATTTTAGGATTGTTTTGTTTGCAAAATAATCCAACTTTTGATTTGAATAATCCTAACAACATTATTAAAGTCATATTTTATCATGGATAAGCTCAGTGCATACCATAACATTTATATCGTGTTCGTATATTTATTTATTGTTGTTAATTTATAACTAGTTTGATCTAAAGTGGTAACTTATTTGGATATAATTTGCTGAAATGTAATAATAGTAAAATGAGAAACGAATTTTATTTAATGTACTATCGAAGTACTTAGCTTGTGAACAACTAAGACAAAATGTAGTCTGTTATTAATGATGATGCATCATAAAACTAATAATAAGCTCCATGAAACACCGAATACTGAGAAACATGTAGGCCCTAGTTGAAGGAAATAATACAGAAGTAATAAATTGATAATTTTATTGATTCAGGATAAAAAATAATTAGTCTCAGTAATATTTTAATTGTAAGCAATTTAAATTTGGTTTGGTTTGAATACTACAAGGGATTTTTTACTATTTGTGCATTCTCAAGTGCATGTAAAATTTCATAAATTTTATTAAAAAAAAACGTGTTATTTGAAAGAGCTCAACTTTTTTCCAAGCGAAAATATTAAGAGTGCAAGAGAATAAACACTCTAGCAACAGCAAGACAGCAACAGCAAGAGAATAATAAGTGGCCTTTTCAATCGTATCATGTGAAATTTAGTCTGTTCAAGGGTGTTTTAACAAATCAATTTAATTTCAATTTAACATTGGAGTTTATAATACACTCTGGATACATTAAACAGGTAAGAAGTGTTAAAACGTGTAAACGACAAACGGTTTTATTTATACAAACTATATCATTCTCTAATTAAACTAAAAGATTTTTATTTCGATTAGTTGATGCCCACCATTGATTTGTGCTGCTCAGTGCATACTTCGGATATCACTTTGATGACATCATCAGGGGAGGTCTTTTCAACGCAAAGGTTGGCGAACTTGTATAGATGGGCCAATGCGTAAGTGTTCTGAAAAAAAAATACGGTACTCATGATTTATTTAAAAGTCACTATTTACATCGAATAATTTCAAATTTTGCGAATCACAAGAAATTATAATATGTACAAAATAGTACTCAATGCTCAAACAATAATCTAAGTATAAACAGACTGATTCTGATAACAAAAAAAAACTATACCCAGAATACGTTTGTGCTAATCTGTCATTAATTCATTAGCATTTTGTAGTAGATCTGCTAAATAGAATAAAATCAAGTAGTATATTAATTTAGATCATTTATTCCTTTAAATCCTAAACTTGACCGATAAAACTGTATTTATAAAAAAAATCTTTCTTAAAAAAACTAAGTGTATTTGATAATTCCAATATTCCCTGTGGAGAACTGATTATGGAGCCTAGGAAAAGCTAGTCTATGTGTGCATTGTGAATTAATTGTTTCTCAAGTATAAATAATTAATATGGTGAACTATTAACTAATACCAATTAACTATAACTAATAATTAATTAGTAGACATGTTACTCAAGTAGACTGAAACAATTCATTAGATACTCAAACAGTTAAGTAAACGTGTTGATATTTAGGTATATCTATGGTTTGGGTTCGATTCATTTTAACATATAAATCCAGTACGCTTGTAAAATCAAAACCAGTCTTATCCAGACAACATTTATTATCTTCTAATTATATGAGGTTACTTTACGAATACCTGGACATTGACTTTTACTACATTTCTTACTAAGATGTGTACCACAACTGATTTCAATTACCTTGGTAATGTCGATACAGTTGCTCCTGAAGTGGTCCACTACAGTTTTGTAGCAAGGCATCATCTCTAAATTCAGAGGGTGGCGAATTTCTTCAATTGCTTCAGCTCTATTCAGTTTTTCCATCATTTGAGAGAACAAATTATCCACAGATTTTCTTCCCTAAAATAAAGGTTTACTGTACACCAGGGTGATTTTATTGTTGTTTTATTGAAAATTACATTCGCAAATTATATTAACATCATATTTTCTTGTTAGCCATAGCGTTTTTGTTTTAAACCTTATTATAAATAATACATGAATGGTTTTCAGAGGTCAATCGAAGGGGTTTTCTATTAATCATGTTAAGTATTATATTTCTTCAATACTATTGTATTTCGCAAACAGCAATAATGGAAACTCCAACAAATGATTTGCAGAAAGTTTATTGGCACTTCCGTGTATTTTGTAGCTTACATGTTTTATTTTAAGTCAATGAATTAATTTTGAGCTAAACTGTTATAAAATAGATATATAAAGGCACAAGGGTATGAAGAAGTAAACTTACAATATAAGTTAAGCAATGATGACTTTTGTAATGACAATAGGGGTTCGTCTAAGATCTTTTTTCAGGGTTTCATAGGTAGACTATTGTAGTTTGAATATTCGAATGATTACAAAATATACGAGTATTTAAATTATTAGTCCTTAGTAAATAACTTAAAAATGTTAAACTTATGAAACAAAGAGAGGTTTCCCTGGTTTGATTTTTTCATTCATTGTACTTATGACAAATGATTAATGTATTAAAAAGTTTTCAATTACCTTTATCAAATTATCCCTTTTAAGGCTGAGTGTTTTTATTTTTTCCACGTCATTGGTCAACTCAATTTTCCTCTCCAATGTACGAAGGGCAACATCTCGGCTAGAAACAGCGTCCTGAAAAATATTTTTATAGTCAACAAAATAAACGAATCTTGGGATATCCTACTTAAATTTAAACATCTTTGCCACCAAGACAGATTTTCAAATATATAATAGGTTATATACCTTTGACAGTCTTCAGTCTTAAAAATTATCATAATTCAGTCGTCCAAATTCAGTCTAATTAAAGACTGAAGACGGATCTGGAGCTTTTCTCACGTCCACCAATTTCATTCTGAAACATTTGCCTATCACCAATTACAAAATGAATTATGATAAATCTATATCTATATTTATAATTGAATTTTAATCACCTTAAATGGTCCCGACATGATGTTTGTGTCGACGAAGGACTTGTTGCTCATACCCATGTAATCAATGACCTTGTTCTTTTCCAAGGCCTTTTGGCCGTACATGCTGGGGTGACTTTCTTGCACTCGTTTCACCACATTTTTGTACTGTTTCAGAAGGGTTTCAGAGGTCATGTTCTTCTGATGTTCCTCCTGAAATTGTACAATTAAAATCACTTTATTCATATTATAACATGTTGGCCACGTGAAATTTACTAAAATATTCGGCAAGGGTCAATTAATGCATTGCATTTATTAATAAAATATAGATTTTTCGCTAGACAAAAATTTATGAATATATCGTTTGGATACAATTTCGAGATGGTTTGTCTCGAGCACTAATCAAAAACACAATATTCGGTGGAAATGCACCTGATTTTAATTGCAGTTTAAATAAATTACCAACTATAATATAGTATAATTAATAAAATATTATAGATTGAACTGTGTCGTGACCTTTCTGAAAATAATTTAGTAGTTTGGATTAGAATCGTAAGTTGAATTCGAAAAAAATACTATTATAAACAAATGAATAAGATATATTAAATCATTAAATTATTTTGTTTGGTTTTGTTGAAATAATATGAAACTCTTAACGACATCGTAAAATCTCAATGTGTTGAGACATATCAGTCAGTTCTTTTTATTTCGGCTGTTTCTTTTGTAGATATTTGACTCACAGAGTCGATATCCTCCATCCAGGAGATGCTGTACTCGTCGCCGAGGTAAGCCCCTATAGTGGCGTCGTAGTAACATGCGTACGAGCTCTCCTCCGGGTTGGCCGCTGTTGTGGCAAAAACTGAAAAATATATTTGACATGATAAAACATTCATTTACAATTCTTCAAACTAAGTTTTCATATGTGTACCCAGTCTAATACAAAAAGTACAGTAAAGGAGAACTAAAAAGTAGAATACCAAGGCAAAGGACTATTAGTCCTTGTTACATATAATAACTAGTGGACTATATTTATTATAAATAATACTCTTTGACTTCCTTAAATGAGAATTCAAATGTTTTTGTATTACATATGTCTTTCCTGTTGTTTATTAATTGTTCTGTAAATAAGTTTGACCAATATTAGTATATCATAAAATCTTCTTCAAGTATAGTATTCTTTTCATTTAATTCTATTTAACGTGTAACAATATGATTTACAACAGTCCTTACGAGATAACTGTGTCAAAACTAGTACAAATTCGGGTGTGTTGCAGATGTCCGTACTTGAAGAACACTACAAGGTTGACAAATTAAGCTCCAGTTGAATTGTAGGTTTATCAGCTGGTGGATTGCTGCAACACGTCAAAAACCACAGCTTTTCTTTTTTCCAGTTCATCAACGCAGTCATCTCCAGAAGAAAAAGTAAAAATGTAAAACATTTACTTTGAATTGCATCAAAGTAAACTGGGAAAATGGACCTTTTTATGTATTTATTCGTATCTCACAGTACTGTATTAACAAAGCTTGATAACTGCTCTTCAGGAGTATACGATGTTTTATACTTCACCCAACAAGTAATAACCAAAGAATAAATACTCCGTTTCGACAATATACTTTGTTTGCAAGAACAATAACACAAGTTTGTTTTAGCAGTGACACACAATGTAGTATCTTGTAAGCTAACAATGCATGTTGGATCAACTGACAGGAAGTTGGTTATCAAAAACAAGTGGTTTGACATGTTGTGAAACACAACTTGTGAAATATGTAATCAGTTTGTCTTATCTACATGACTGTCAATCACTCACTGTTGATGTTGGGTGGGAGTATCTTGTCGAACATGGAGCCCGACTCGCACGCTTCCATGTAGAACACTAGCTGCAAATATTAAAGCAATCTAATAAAATGTGTACAGTATACTGTTGGCATGTCCAAAATATTCAAATATACAATTGGTTGTGGCTTATTACTTTAAAAACTTTCATATCCATAATTTTTTACAATCTCCGATATAGTATATGGAGAAAGTATTGTTTTTACGAGTTTCAGTTTTTAGTGGATTATCCGTTTTGGGTCACCCTCAGCCCAGAAAAGTGGGTTTTTAAGTTTTCATTTTTGATGCTGATTTACCCATGAAATAACAGAAATTAGATTTTCTCGAAAATGGCCCGAACGATTTTGAAAAAAAATTTAGTATGTTATAGTCCTTTTAATTCTAAACAAATTGGTGGAAAATCCATTTCCGTAAAAATTACGGTTGAAAGGTTATTGTAACTTATGCTATTTCCCATAAGAAAACAATAAAGTAACAAAAATCAGATTTTTGGAAAAAATCTATTTTGATTTAAATTAGTATGTAATGGTCTTTTAAATTTTGACCAAAATGGTTACAACTCCCGTTTTCGTAAAAATTACTGTTTAAAATTAATTGTAAATTATGTTATTTTTAAAATAAAAAAAACATAAAATAACAAAAATCTGATATTAGGAATAAAGCCGGGCTTGAATCAATTTAAAGTGTTATGGTCCTTCTAAACAAAATAGTGCAACAACCAATAGCTGAAACAATTATGGTTCAAAAGTTATTCAAACTTTTGAGGTTTTCCCTATAAGATATCATAGTTACTCTCACAGCTCGCCCATGATAAAGGTTGCTGACAAGCTAATGGTAGATAGTATGTGTCAGATTGCTGATATCGTTAATTTTTTTGTTTTTGTTGTAAGGTAACATATGAGACAATTTTCTTGTTAAGGGAGGTTTAGTATTTAATGGAATAAATTATTCAAGCTATTGTATTACCATTACGTACAAATTAATAAATATATTTATAGCGCGACCCACAAAAAAGACCAGATTGTCCGTAGATAAATTTATATCTCCAAAGTAAAGTAAATTTTGGAATCTCATATATATCACCATTTCTCTACAACGTAACCATACAACTACAACTAATTCCATTTAACTAATCTGCAGAAAATAAAATCCTGTATGAACTACTCTATGAATCATTTGACCTATTATTCTCTCACGTTTCCTTTACATTCTCAGTACCAGTATGCCTACAGACAACGCGTATTTATTTACTATTTCATATACGGTACTTTTTTATTGTCCCACCTTTACATCCTAGGACGCTAGTTTCTAGCCCGGGACTGTTTTAAATATTACTTCAGGCTAGTCCTAGAGGAATGTGGCATTATTATATGAATACAATTTATTGGAGGGATTGGAGGGATTGGAGGGATATAAACCTGGGCCCTCAGGCTCCAAAGCCCCGAGCTCTACCACTAGACCAGCTCGCTCGCCGACATAGGAGCGTTACCGTAGTTATCGCCTGGTTCAGAAAGTCAAAGGTAGCTTACCTTCTTGTACATTTTCTTCTTGTGCATGGTCTTGAGTGCCTTGATAAGCTCATTGGCGTACATTACGTCATTGGGAAACCCTATGATCCCAGTGGCACCATGGTCGACGAAGTTGATGAAGACGTGGTCATTAGGCCCGCTGTAAACAGTGACAAGTCAATACCTATCTTAGAGCCTTAAAGCATGTTACAAATGATCGGTGTAAATGGTACAAAATATAATTTATGGAATTATGATATTTCGTTTAAGAATTAATTTATATAAATATTGTTATTTGTGGTGTTTTACCCGTTGTTTAATGAAAGTGAATTTTACAACGATTAGACATTGCTTCAAAACAAAAGTTGGAGTTAATTTATCAGGAATTAAGAAAAAGTCAAAGTTAAATTTCCTTCGCATTACTAATAATTTATAAATAAAAAACTTTTTTAAAACAAAACGTTTTTCACTAAAAAGTAGAAAATAATTTATAAATATGTGGAGAATATTAATACTTATAAGATTTAAAACGAAAAACGTACGGTGCATGCAATAGATAATTTACAATTACTTTCACCTATTGAACTAACGTATTATTATAGATTGCATGTACCCAACGTTTTTCGTTTCAAATCTTACAAGTATTTATACTATCTACATATTTATAAATTATTTTCTACTTTTTAGATTTTAGGGTGTGTGGATGTTAAATCTATTTCAAGCATCTATATCAGATTAAGACAGAGGCATGTAGGAAATCTAAGGTTTATTTGAGTTTCTTTTCATATAATTATGCATTAGATTGAATGTATGGCCTACCTACTAACTATAATTATATCAATCTATTTAATTTATTGTTTACTTATAGAATACTAAATAAATAACAAATAACATTATTAACAAACACCTTTATATCATTAATCAGATTGTTTATCTTTATTTTGAAATGTTTGTTTGAATAAAGAATCTCTTGGGAACATAATCTGTACCTCTTAACCTCTGCTCTTCGAACTGTCAAATTTATTTACACCTGACTTAAATTAATTGATATATTTACACTCTTTCAAAATATAAACATGGAAAATTTGGAAGCCCGTGGGGCGTAGCCCAAGGGAAATACACCAATTAAATTATATAATATTGCATTGTCATCCATTTGTGAGGTATGTTTCAAATTTAAAGTCTCTAGCTCATCGGGAACTTCGTTTAAAATTGATATCAAAATTTGTAGGAAAGTGACTAGTGAGCTAATAAAAACAAGCCCATGGGGCTTAGCCCAAGAGTAATATGAAAATTAAATTATATAATATTGCATTGTCATCCATTTGTGAGCTATGTTTCAAGTTTCAAGTCTCTAGCTCATCGGGAACTTAGTATAAAATTGATTACAAAATTTGTACTGGACAAGAAAGCGAGCTAATAAAAACGTTTTAAAATAGGATAATTGTTCAATTTATGTTACCTTTTTAAGACCTTTCCTGACCCTTTCCCGATCATTGCCGACTTGTTACCAGTCAACACATTGACAAAGTTTTGCGGAGTTACCTGTTTTTAACAATGAATTATTCAGTAATGATTGACATATATACATTTTTAACCTTAATGTTAAAATTTAAAACTTATAAATTACTGTAAATTAAAAAATAGATGAGTTTTGTAAAGAGTATTAAAAGCAAAGACAAAATGTCTATGATTTTAGTGACAAATAATTTGAAAAACGATTGACTTAATTAAAATATAGGCTATTCAAAATTATTGTTCAGTAAAAAAATATGCAAAATCCTTATTTGTATTCTCAATACTCTATTATCTTAACAACTTAGTACGTTAATGTTACACTTATAAATATTTAAAACCAACTTACATCATCACCAGTGTAGTCCTTCGGAACTTTTTTAGGTCCGTAAACATTAGGACCGTTAGGTTTGTTGATGATTACGCCCTTTTTGGGGTTCCTGTGAATATAGACGAAGAATGAAAATCAAGTAAATGTCAGATTTCAAAAGAGTTGGCTAATAGGTATAGAACAGTAAAGAATAAAACTTAAAGACAGGAGTCAATTGAATGGAGTTGACTAATGTCATCGAAAAATACCTGTCTATGAACACTTATACCTGGGAGATATACGATTCTCTTAGCTCTCTATTATTTCGTAGTTGTACCTTCATTATCTTGAACTGGTCCAAATAATTTTTTCTGCACTCTATTCAAACACAATAATAAGATTATTCGGATTCCTTGGTCCCAAGATTTTAAACATTACATTACTACTGGGACTGGGGTAAGTTATGGTAGGTTATATGTTGATTTTTGTTTCTTCTGACAGCCATTTGGACTTAAACAGTTGTTTAGAACCAATATTGAATACCAACTTCCGTACCAGGTGACATTTTCATTACTAACAAACATTATGATGTGTCGACAGACAGACGTTTGAACAGAAAGAGAACTATCAACACGTAAACCACTTATCAATCAGGTTTTACAAATTACAAGACTAATATTATTAATTTGTATTTTTCATTTTTTTTGTATGAAACAGACCCCAGGTGATAGTTTCCTGAAAAATATTTACCTACCACGAGTTATAATTTCCACAGCATGAACCTATATTTACACAGATTACATTTATGATGAAACTTGATTATACGTGTTTAGGATATTAAAATCAATACTGCACACTTCCTGAAACGAAAATCCTTTACGGTATGAAAAAATACGTTGAGTTACATCGTAAAATATGTAATACGGCACTAATTTGTAAACAACTTGTAACTTAAACACTTTAGTGAAAGTTATGATAAAGCTGTTCGGCCTGAACGAAATAACATTGAAACAAACTTGAAAAACCTAAATGTACAAGTGTGCCAGTTTATATTCATGAATGCCAGGTTAAGTGTAAGAAAGGGCCACGTGGCCCTAACTTTGCCTGAAAAATTAAAAGATTTTACATTTTATTTTATATAAAAATGCGTCAGCTGCTTGTATTTTAAAAACTAAAACTTAATTCTAAAAAATTGAAACCCCAAACTAAAATTCAGTCTTTGACATTCCCTTCTTGCCATAACCATGTTTCTTTCAACACAAAAAATCATGAAAATGCGTTTTGTTTGATTCAGAATATATAAAAAAACAAGCTATATTACTAAAACACGTTCATAAGCTCCACACCACTATGGTAAAAAAAACATACGTTTATACATAAAAAACCAAAGTAATAAAATTCTAACTTAATTCCAAACAATACACGATTTAACTGTAATTTATATAGTTTTTATACTTACTCGGCATTGTGGGCAATGTCGTCATACATCATAACAATGATGTTCGAGTCAGGAATTCCGTGGCGGTGGAAAATCTGATACGCATGGCAAACGTCCGCCTACACAGAACACGTCACTAGTAAATGAGGCTACATCACGAGTAAAATTCAACCCTTGAAACATTGATGTAGGTCGTCCCTAAGGTAAATTGTCCTTGGGTTTCTCTAGTTCATTGGATTAATTGAAGTCGATTACATGTTAATTAATATGAAGTTAAACTGTGAGAAAATATAAAAAAAAAACTGGTGTTTTAAATAAAGATGAAGACTTAACTTACATTCTGTGAATTTACAATGGTTCAGTTATAACTAAGATGTCACACAGTAAAAAAATAAGTAACAAATAATTATTAAGTTGATCTTTAAACAAATGAATTCACAATCAAATGGTTAAAGGTTGTAAAAAAGTTAACATAAAAAACATTCATAATCTTACCTGATGTCGGTAGTTATCAAAAGTATTGGAACCAGCAACCAGAACTGCCCAAATTTGGCCTTTGGCCTCTTCTGTAGGGGCAGCCAGGGTTGCCACCACAAACCATAGAGAAACAACCAGTTGTGCAAACCTTAAATTCAAATTAAATGTTAACACAAGTTTAGTAACCATTTGATTAAAAAACAAATTTCATAATACCTGGTGCACCGGTTGAGATAAAAATGTTCATATTTGGCATGAGAATGTGGATTCACGATGCCTAATTTTTCAGGTATCACACAGAGTTTTGGGAAGAAATTTGAATAATTAATTGTTAACTGTATTCTATAATTTTAAATAGTATTTGGAGTCTCAAAACGTATAAAACTAAACTAATGCTATGTAAACATGCATTTAACTTTTCTTTGTATTTTTTCAACTTAAAACGTATAAATTTGTAAAATGCAAGTTTCCACGTTAGATACTGTAAAGGCTTATGTTTATTTTAGGTCCCGTTAAAAATGTCTACACTACGCATTTCAATATGATAAACATGATTCCCATAAATTAAATTGAGATTTTATCCTCGCGTTAAAGGCTGTTTCAGTTTCACATTAATTCCATAGTTCAAATTGGACATTATTTTGTAATACCATGAGCAATAACCATCGCCAAAACAGATTTTTTAATCAGATAGTTTTAAGACGATTAATTAAACCAACAAACAACTGCTCGTGATGCTGTGCTATAAATTTGCACTGTATTTTTATTATTAACTTAATTATTACAAAAATACTTACATTGTATGGATTGTCATCACTGTGAAATCTCACGGGGATTAATACCTTTTTATATAGAATGTTGATAAGATAATTTTAAAGAGCTTTCAAAAAGTAGTTGACAAGATAAAACAATGGTTACACTACTTAAAAACGTAGAATTTCCGACTAAACACTTGTTTTCAATCTATTTCTTTAATGCACTTATCGTATAGAGATAATAATTGATAATAGCTCTTGTAGTGTTTTGTCCGTCCCAAAGATGGTAAAACACAAAGTAGTTTGGGAATACCTTGCATGTTCAACTATAATTATAGCTAGAACTGTCATGCCTATGTTTAAGGTTAAAGCTAGTCAGTTTAATGACATAATAAACGTCAAATTGCATTAAACCACTTACAGGGTGCGCTGGTGTGAATGATTTCTGTCTTATACGAAATTTTCAACTTTTTAACGAAGCCAATTACAGGCAGTTTATTGTCAACTATCGCATCCTTTATGTCATATTTGACTGATAAAAACATCAAAGTTGAGCTAATAAACAGAAAATCAACTGCATAAATTTTTTATGACCCTCTCAACAATGGTCATTATTTTTAATAGTTTCTCAACTGGTGTTTATTGATAAGATGTTGTCTTTAGTAACCGAATGTCAACGGTTTTTTTAAAAGTAATGTATACAGTTATAAATTCGAATATTGAATGGTTTTTTTGTTCTTTAATCTTACAGAAATGTATTTTATTAAAAAACTGGTACTCGGTAATCGGCCATTATAAATGATTTTACGATGTGTTAGAGCTGTTCAACCCAACGGTTTTGTGGGTAAAAGTCCCCACAATACCTACAGATCAGAAGTCATTTTCCCTTATGAATATAATTCCTAATGCATATAATACTGTAAACTCAGTACGGTGCTTTTGTGTTTATATTCTTATAACTTTTGACAACATTGTAAGTTGAATGTAACTAGTTTTATAGTTACGTGTATTTACAGTATATAATATGATTTCCTCTCCCCCCCAAAAAATCGGATCAAAAATAGAAACCAATGCTATTCTAACTCATATAAATAATGAGAGAATGTAAGCTTTCTATACACTATGTTTATAACCCCAAAGTACATTTATATCTGAATGGCTGGACAACGCAACGTTTTACGTATCTGGGAGTGAAGCCCATTTGCTTAAAAGCCTCTTGTTTTTGAGAGTGTTCGAGCCAAACCATAACTTAGGTTTTGAAATAGAATTCACATTTAAATTATTATACAGAAGCAAATGTTTGAACATTTCATCAGACTATTATCCTCTTTAATCTTTCTTAATACATTTTCGGGTTATTTCTACTATATGGTATAGTTTGCTTTTTATTATTTCAATATTGTTTGTACCAAATAACACCTATTCGTGAACCGTTGATTTTTCTTAAGTATCAAAACAGAATAGTAAAACATAATTCATCAAGTCTTTACTAAACAGTTTATTCGACACTAGCCCCCAAACGTCGAAAAAACTAAAAACAGTAACATAACGGTACACAGTGCACATGGTGAAATGCCGTTTTACTGTTATTTCACACAAACATTATGAGGTAAATTTGTCTTGTTGGAAATTACTCCAACTAAAATATGCGTTGTATTTCGAGATGAGAAAGAGCAGTTATGTATCACACGACATGTTAACTATGCAAATATGCTACGAAAGCAACATATCATGTCTACTTCCCGACCCCAGATGCTTCATCATTCCTACAAGAACACTTTGTAAGCAAAGCTCTAGGATGTAAATGAAAAATGAAAATAGCATATTCAACCACTAAGGCTTAAAGTGACTCTTTTAAACAAGAGCTGAAGTTAATGACTGAGTTGGTGCAAAAAAAGAGAAAATATACTTTTGGCCCTTAACAAAGTGCTCGAAATCGATTTTCTGTGGTTTATCAAGCTTGAAAATGTTGATGTACGATGAACAATATGACACGATTAAAACACAGGGAAATTTACTAACGATACAACAATTTTATTAATCGTAAAACTCTTTCTGCCAAATATGTGGAAAAAAGTTATAAAAATGTTAATTTTTTGTTTTCACCTCTAGCTACATCGTTTTGCCCCAGCGAGAAAAACGGCTACTTCCCGCAAGAAATGAATGTACTAAAGTCATTCGATCATTGTAATATAAAATATTTCTTTCACTAAAGTCGGTGTTTCGCTACCGATGTTGGTAGTTTAAGCCACACAAGAGACAAACGCGCACTATAATTTCAAGAGATGTAAAGAAACTGTGCTGTAAATCATTCACATTCCAACAGTGTACGTAATTCTCTTGCGACATTGTACGTCAATTCCTCCGAAAACATTGTTGCTACACAATCCATATTACGGATACATGATCCGACTAGATTTGCTTCTGAAAACAACCTGATGGAAAAGCTTCACTTATTTTCATACGATTTTCCTCTTCAATAATGTTACGTTGAGAGCCAGTGAGCAAAATAAAGAAATGCGCACCTTAACTCGAATCCATTTAAGTACAATATTTAAAATGGATTAAGTTCTTTGAATGTTTGTGAATAAAACAAACAGTACAAACATTCTTTAAAGAAAAAAAAAACTCGGATGGCATATTATTGATCAAAAAAGTGTGTATTAAAAATCAAATAAACTCATGAAATAAGATCAGTCTTAAAAATTGTATTGTTTTCTCTTTGTTTCAACAACGATCACAAATAACCAATATCAAATACAAGTCATACTTTTATCCTTAATATTTTACCTTTAAATGATTGCAACGAGACAGAATTGCACTTGAAAAGATTTGTGCACGAATTTGATGTATCACAACTTATAAAAGAAACTAAGCTAAATAGCTCACAAAGACTGTTTTTTGTGTCATTCCATTCTACCATTGACAATTATATACTGAAGAATCAAAAGTCCAAGATTCTACTAGCCTTGCAAGGCTGAGAGGCGAAATGTCTAAAGTGTAAGGAGAATTGTCTACAAATCAACTGGATTCATTCGTAATTCATTCAGTTATTTACACTAACCAAAACCACCAAACATAACATAAAAAAAACAACTTCTCACCTGGGTATAAAAGGTAGGCTTAACCTGGTGTTAAATCATTCTGTATTTGGCTGGATCCTGGATCCAAAATCAAAATGTATCATATATGTCACAAATCAATCCATCATAGCAAAATATATCATAATTAACTGTTGTGTTTTGGCTAAATGTTGATATATTCTATGCTGATTTATTGACTTAACACTAAATTTTATAACATGTCAATATGCACAATCAGTTTTTTTGTTGGAATCTAAAATCATGCTTTTAGCGAAGTGTTAAATTTCAGCAGTCAAGATGAGAGATGACAAAACAATTAGTGAGGGAGAGGTTTTGGATTTTTCCTGGACCTTGTAGCACCAGCTGTTGGTTTTGTCGGGTTTGCATTTGGACTGGAACTAATTTATTCTCATCCAGTGGCTTCTCATAGTTTATAGTCTTATTTTATTTCAATTTTAACAATCCGTTGTTATTATTTTATCTTGAGCTAATAATCTAATTACAGCTATACGAATTTTACGAATTTTGATTCTTCTGCACGTTCACATTTTGAATCGTGTACAAAACAAGGTTGTTTCTATACACATATAAACACTTGAATGCTTTAAAAGAAATAGATATTACTATAGTCATCATAGCAATAGCGTAGCGTACATAGGTATAAAACTACTGTCTTTTTATAAAGCACAGTGCACAAAAGCCAAAACACCAGTTAGTTTACTCTCGCCATATTTTAAAATACTTTCCCAACAATTTAGCGTCTTAATAAATTTTTATTCTGCGTCTAATTCGTAACATGATCTACAAGGTGTCCATAAAACCGTTTTACGACTTTGGAATGTGATTCTTCATATAAATTAAATAACAATTGCGCATGAAGGGATGTACGAAATTGATATTTACCAACATATTCGCCATTTTGTTAGACATGTTTATATTTTAATTGTTCGAACCGATATTAATGAAACTCGGTAAGGGTATTGAAAGTAAAGAGACCATTACATAAAAAATTAAGTTGGTCCAATTTAAAATTTCCAAATGGAGGCCATTTTAATATTTGAAATTAATGTTACCAACTAATTTTAGAGATTCGACCAATTATTTAGATGAATCCTTTTGATATTGTATTTTTTCCTTTTTCCATTGTTCTTTTCTTTAGGTTTTAAACTAAGAAACTGCAATGTTTTTGGTAAAAGTAAAAATATTTATAATTATTATAACAAAAATAATATTATTATTCAAAACCTTTCTATTTGCATTGCGAATGGTTGAAAAATTTTTTTACAAAAACAGTACCCCGAGGAGTACAAATCTTGTGAAGAAAAACTGTTTATAAGGTTTGATAAGATAAATGCGGTTAAGTTTTTAGATTCAGGAAAACCCAACAATTCTAATCAAAATACCTGAGACGGAACTTTAGGGAAGGTATTTTAATTAGTTTCTGGCAAGGACAGTCCTGTAGTTTCTAGATTTTACGCCATAGGCGAAAGAAATTTCCGTGAATTTAGATTACATTAATTATGTAGAATAACTTAAATGTGTTTCTATGTAACAATGGTTTACAAATCTACAAAACATACTCTTTATTTACGTTTATTCTGCTATTTCATCTGTAAGATTCTTGATTATACTTTTCTCGTATATTATATTATTATAGGAAAAACTAAGGCATCGAACTGAGATTAATAAATAAATCATTCAAAATTACGTATTTTATTAGTTTAATGTTAATTTACAACTGAGAGGTTTTTCGTATATGTTTTTGACTTTATTTATGTTTCGAGATAAATTAATGACAATCGTTCAGATTCGTCTAACACACTTATGAAATGGTTTTCATCAATTTTTGTTATTGGTTTCCAAAATAGCTGCAGGTTTTCAACAGGCATATTTCTTATTTTTGACAAGGATATGAAATGCAAAATAATATACTCTACTGGTTTTGTAATTCCAGGTGTTAAAAATTATATTTTTTACCCATTTTTCTTAGCCAAAATTGGTAAGGAAACAAAA